AAAAAAAAAAAAACTATAAGATTGCCCACAGATAGTCCTGAGGATTACAATCAATCTGGAAGGCTTCCTGGAGGAGATAGTGCTAGAACTGGCCTGAAGACAGAATGGGCTTGGTTAGGCTGAGAAGAGGTGTGAGGTGGAACGCCAAACAGGATACAGCCATGGGCCATGAGGATCCTTATCTTGCAGGAAAGCTGGGAACCTGTCATGAAGACAACAGGGCTCGGCATCAAGGAGCCCTCGAGAACGAAGACCATATTCAACGTGACCAAAGCCATGTGACAGGTGTCACGAGAACTCCCTAGCCTGGAGAGGAAAGCACCCAAAATGGGGACAGCTCATCTTCCTGGATCCCAAATAGCTTGACAGGCAGGCGGCCAGGGCAACTTCAGGGTCTTTGCTATGCAAATGAAGGAATGGAAACTCAGAGAACTTCCAGTCCCCAGTCCTTCCCTCTCTCCAGACGACCATAATGTCTCAGACTCACTGGACTCGGTGCAGCCGCCATCTTACAGATGGCTGAATTGAGGCCCAGGAGGAAAGTGAGTCACTCAAAGACACACAGGAAGGAAGCTGTCTGGAATCCCACTCCTGGCCTTGAGTCCAGAGCCCTGTCCACCCCACCCCACAACAAGGCATAAAATGAGAGACTTCAGTCAGACTTGTGGGAGGACGTCCAGCAAGACTGAGTTAATCTCATCGTCAGGAACAAGCAGCGGAAGGCTAGATATTTCTACAGAGGCCCCTCCAGCCCACAAAGATCTCATTCCTCTCTCACTATCTATCTCCCCTTTCCAACTCTTCTGACAGGTCCCTGAGGGCTAGAACCACACCTTGTCCATCTCTGTGTCCCCACCCCACCCACCTCCAGGCCAGGACCCCAAATGCAGGAGGCATAAAACACACAGGGATGGATCATAGTCCTGGAAGGGCAGATGGAGAAGAGGTCTTAAGTGACAGCTAAGCCTGTGGTCTCATGCCCCAGCCCACATTAGATCACCTACAGGGCTTGTTAAAATACAGATTGCCAGGCCCCATCCCCAGAGTTTTTGATTCAGTAAAGCTGAAGCAGAGATCAATAATTTACATCCCTTCTTTTTTTTTTTGATTTGGAGTCTCACTTTGTCGCCCAGACTGGAATGCGGTGGCATGCTCAAGGCCACCCCAGCATCGACCTGCTGGGCTCTAGCGATCCTTCCGCCTCAGCCCTACAAGTCGCCAGAACCACAGGCGCGGGCTACCATGCCTGGCTCATATTTTATTGATTCTAGAGACGAGGTTTTGCCAAATTGCCCAGGCTGGTCTCGAACCTGCGGGCTCAGGCAATCCACTCGCCTCGGCCTCCCAAAGTGCTGGGATGACAAGCTGAGCCACCAAGCTCGGCCAAAAATTTGCATTACTAACAAGATCCCGAGTGATGCTGACGCTGATGATCCAGAGACCACACTGAGAACCGGCGAGTTAGGTCTGCCCTCCCGTTTTCCAGCTGGGGAGAATGAGTCCCAGATACTTTAAAGGCAGCACTTGGTAGTAGTACTTCACTACCATCACCGCATTGTCACTGTCACTATAACCCTGTCATTACAACCCTCCTCACATGCTCAGCACCGCACAAGCTCTCCATGTATGTTATCACCTTTGGGCCGTGCCCTGAAAAAAAGATACTATGATTATTATTCTGCTGCCAGGGAAAAACAGAGGGAGGCAGTATTGTGTCATTTGTCCAAAGTCACACAGTCAAGAAGGGTTAGCAACAGGATTTGAACCCTGATCTCTAAGTTCAAAGCCCACAAAGTTAACCATCACTCTCTATAGCTTATGCTGAATGGCCCAAAAAGTTCCTGAGTACAGCAGGCTCATTTTTTTCTTTTTTTTTTTTGAGTTGGAGTCTCACTCTATCGCCCAGACTGGAGTGCAGTGGCACACTCACGGCCACCCCAGCAACCTGCTGGGCTCTGGGGATCCTTCCGCCTCAGTCTTCCAAGTAGCTAGAACTGCAGGTGCGCACTACCACATACCAGCTAATTTTTTATTTATCATAGAGACAGGTCTCGCCAAGTTGCCCGGGTTGGTCTCGAACCCGCGGGCTCAGGCAATCCCCTCGCCTCGGCCTCCCAAAGTGTTGGGATGACAGGCTGAGCCACCGAGCCCAGCCTTCAGCAGGCTCATTTCTAACGTGAGAGGAGCTTGTGGAACCCTCAGTCCAAAGGCCCGTCCCTGAGTGGGCCTCTGGGGAGTCTCACATCCAAAGAAAATCTGCCTCTTACTCCCTAACCCAGAGCATTTTCTCCTGCAAACACTCCTTTCCCCACATTACAATGTCCACGTGACCCCAATGCTTGGGCCTTC